TAATCGAGTAAAAAACAAAATGTAAGTCATCTTAAATAACAATAAAACAATAAGACAACGACAACGACGACGACAACAACAACAACGACGACAACGACAGCAACTGCAACATCACCAATAAGCAGCAAAACAAAGCAAAAGATGGCATGCAGAAGCAAACAAACAAAACAAGCACTCACCTTCTTTGGATGTGTGTGAACCAATGAGAAGCAAGAGGTGGCATGACGTCATCTGTTCAGATGATCCCACGTGACCCTGTCAACGTCATCTCCTTTCGCTGTGTATATTTGTATATTTGCATGTCTATGTGAGAAAAAATAACCACTATATATTTTTACATATACATATACTGAATGAATTCTACCGAATCGTAAGCATTAATCAATTTAAAGTTTGTCTTTTCATCAGTTTTCCTTGCTAGAATTTTCTGTAAGGAAAACTGAAAAGAAAAACTTTAAATTGATTAATTCCCACAATTCGATAAAATTCATATAATACTGTTGCATATATATATATATATATATATATATATATATATGTGTGTGTGTATATATATATTTTACAATATTCTATAAATTCTACCAAATGTCTCTCTCTCTTTCTCTCTCTCTCTCTATATATATATATACATATATATATATATATATAGAAAGAGAGAGAGATATGTATATGTGCAAATTAAACTGTTTGTTTGTATGTTTGTATATTTGCACCGTGCAAAACCAGAAAGATTTGATTGATGAAAAAGTGTAAGGAGGAAAGAAAAATAGCAGTTCGTACAAACATCTTTAAGTATGTATTTTATTTACCTACAGTTGTGCTAGCATGTTTGTTTGCATGTACAATGGTGGTAATGTGTATGTGTGTGTACAAATGTATGCGTGTATAAAGGTAAGTATGCAAGTTTGTCTGTTGAAATTTATGTTCGAGATTTGTACAAATTTGTGCATTTGTTTCAAGATGAAGAGGAAACTACATAATCGGTTAGTATGTTTAAGACACACACACGCACACACATATGCACACGCACAAAACACACACACACACATATATATATATATATATATATATATATAAATAAACTGACGTACATGCAAAAAATTGCGTTGACAGTCGAACGCCCCTGGTCGGCAGTGGAATGATCCCATGACCCCACGTTGCAAAAATGAAAGTCATTGTGTGTGGGTTTGTGTGTGTGTGTGTTTTTGTTAAAATGCGTATGCGTTTGTGTGTGCGTGAATCTTTGTGAAAGTGCGTGTGTGATTGTGTTTGTCTGTGTCTGTGTATCAGTGTTATTGTATATACTTTGATTCTTCGACTTTTACTTTGATTTTTTGTCCTAACTGAATTACTATTGCCGTTACGAGCGAGCGTTACTACCAATATTACTTCAAATATCCCTTTTATTCAAGTAAAATTATTTGTGCTTTTCCTTCAGCTACTAAAAATATTATTTCAATTGATACTAATACTCACGCGAAGTTATTATTACTACTATTGCTAATACTACAGTGTGGGTATTATTTCTGAAGATGTAAATGTGATGTTCTGCTCACTGCGTTTCAATTATAACCTTTCCAAGCACTAGCATTCAATTCGACCGCAGCACAGCTCGCTGACATGATGCTTGCAATTGCAATGACGAGTCTCATTTCGCATGATTAAGCTCTTGATTGGCTGGTTGGCTGTGTGATTGGTTGGTTGGATGGCTGGTTGGTTGGCTGGTTGGTTAAATGTCTGACTGGTTGGATGTCTGGCTGGTTGGTTGGTTGACTAATTGGTTGGTTGTGTGATTGGTTGGTTGGATGGTTGGTTGGTTGATTGGCAAATTATTTAACATTTGCTATTGTATATGATTTCTTGAAAAAATTTGTTGTTAAAAAGATAATTAATTGGTTTATCTAATAAATTGGTATGATTAATTGGAAACATTATTGATAAAGATGCTGTTGCTGATGTGAATGATGTTGTTAATGTGAATCACGTTGATGCGGTTGATAATGTGTTGATAATGATGATGATGATGTTGATGATGATGTTAATGATGATGATCCTGACGTGGAAGAACGTTTTATGTTGACCATGAAAATAATGTTACTGTGAATGAATGGCGACAACTTATGGATGGTAATAAAGAGAATAACAGCAACTACAACATCAATGAAGATTCTGATGATTACAGTGTATGATTGTTGTTACATTTATAATGAAACTTATTAAAGTATCAATGAAAAGTAGAGAAGCCCGTTGTAGATAACTTCATTCGCGTTATAAACTACAAAACCACTGCAGTAAATCACTGCGGTTTTGGGTGTAGTTTTGGTTTGAAATCAAAGTTTAAATTTAATTTATTTAGAAATAGTTTTTTTAACTGTTGTATCTGGTTAAGTTTATACACTTTCCACTTTCCTTCTTAGGTTTCAAAGTTTTCATCGGCAGCAGACTGACTCCCTGCAATGAACCAACCGTGCTGATGATCTGCTGATGATAATATAAGGCGATGATGTTAATGATGATGGAATCATTTATGACGATGATGACGATGATGGCTAAGCTCATGATAATGATGAATATGATAATGATGATAATGATGAGTGTAAAACTGATTAAGTCTTCGATAACATCAATTGTAATGGTTAGAAAATCCTTTCATTCCATTAACAAATGCATTTACACAGTGTGGTGGTTGGCGATAAAGGATTATGATAACGATTGTGAAGATGATGATGATGACGATTGCGGTGATGATGATAGTGATTTTAGTGGTAATGATTATGATGGTGGTAAGCAAATATTGATGTGATAATGAACATGATGATGAGTGGTGATGATGTTTATGATGTAGTGATGTTTTGGGACCGGCTGGTCTGTACTAGCAGGATTAATTCTGAATAATTATCGTTTAAATATTTATTTAGTGAAATTAAAAAATTAACAATCAACATTATAACTGCAACTTGAAAAACTGAATTGGGCTCAAATAATAATCAACAACAACTTGACAGCAACAACGTCACAAATTCGGAACAACTACGTCACAATGACATCATCAACATTGACGTCACAATGACATCATCAATAACAACATCAAAATTACATCATCAACTTTACAAACGTCACAACTTTGCAACAACAACAACATCGCATGCCTGCAACAACATTATAATTACATTACAAACAAGACCAACTCAAATAATTTGCAAGCAGTCTCAAATCTCAAACGATAACAACAAACATACACAATCATCATACTTAATAACATCATCATTGTTATCGTCCTCATCATTCCATCAACATCATCGTCATCATGACCACCAGGAACCCGGAAAAGGATGAAGAGCACGTGACCTGGCATACCTGGATCACGTTCGTTGCGCTCTAATGCCAAACTGCATGCTCGTGCTAGCCCCTCTTCATTATTCAGAATCCTTTTGTTGTTTTTGTTGTTTTTATTATTGTTTTTGTTGTTGTTGTTGTTGTTGCAGCTATTTAAACTGATGTGGGTTTGTTGTTGATGCTGTTGTCGGAATTGTTGTTGTGAAATTTTGGATATTTCATTTTTAATGGTCGCATATGACGTAGCTATGATAATTGCCATTGTTACATTTTGATTGGGAGTTTATTTTAATTCTATAAAATAATTTAATTAGATACTAATGCTATTTCATAATGTTAATCACATTAGTCACTTCCATTCATATTAATTATCTTAAAAGACATTATTGCGAACAAATAAGCTTACATACATATGCGATAACATTTATGTACCTATGTGAATGTGTGCACTCATGAACACAAAACATACAAACACACGCACACAACCATGCATACACACGCACACAACCATTCAAAACTGGTAACACTAATATACACAAAAACTTAGGACATAAGCATGTAAGCATACACACAAAGATAGAAAAAAAGAGAAATAGTGAGAGAAAGTTACACAAATACATGCAAAAAGACAGACAGAGAGAGGGAGAGAGACGAACACATTATTATATATATAGCCGTTGGGCCTTATAAATGTAACTTGAAAGTATTGCAAGACCTTGCCAGACCTCAAGTTGAAGTGTGATTCTAATCTAGAATAACATTCTATTTCTCTCTCTCTTTCTCTCTTCTTTCTCTTTCTCTCTTTCTCTTTTTCTCTCTTTCTCTCTTTCTCTCTTTCTCTTTCTTTCTTTCACTTGTCTCATCGTCTGCATTTGTATGTGCCTAGATATGTATGTGGGCATCTTGTGATGTTTAGTGAATAAAATGTCCAGTTGATTGTCCATCTTTTCCAACACGCACTTACATAGGTGGTCTGTTTTGTACCACACAAATTTCTATAACGGCTACTATTCTGCGATAAGTTTGTTTTAGGCATGTTGTGGCTCCTGCGTCTGTACTGTGCTATTTGGGATAAAAAAATGAAACTCGTGACAGAATGAATGTAAACATTATAAGAAGAGATTTTGAAAATAGTGAACATGTACATCTTATTTTATTTTAAATGTTTGTTTTCAGTCCATACAATGACACCATCAGTTTTATTATGAATGAGTATGAAGATCTAGAAAGACAAATAAGCATGGCTGATATGGTTTTAATTTATAAACTTAAAATAACAGCATTCGTCTACAACATCCACACCACATTTCTTCCATCTCTCAATTTTACATGTTTTTGCTGCACAGCTTTAAAAACTGCAATAAGATACAATTATCGCAACTTCCACACAAAATGCCGTCATCATCTTCACATCATCATCTTCACTCACCATTATCCTTATCATCTTTACTTACAAGCATCATCATCTTCACAATCATCATCATCATCATCTTCACATCATCATCTTCACTCATCATTATCCTTAACATCTTTACCTACAATCCCCATCATCTTCACTCATCCTTATCATCCTTATCATAATCTTCACTATCATCATCGTACGTTCGTGGTCATCTCAACATGCTTCTCCACCGTGAACATGTTGCTCGCCACGATTCGAAAGTTTCTTTACTAATTATTTTACTCAAACTCTCTCCCACTATTACGACTTTTCTCTCTAGATCGATGAAATGTTGACATACGTTAAACACACATGCACATATACACAAGCACATATATAATTATCATACATAGGGAGAGTGAGAAAGATGGAGGAAGGAAGAGAGAAAGAGAGATAGGGAAAGAAAGAGAGAAAAAAAAAAAGAAAGTATATATATATATATATATATATATATATATATGCATATAAACACGCATCAACACAATTACATGGAATTTCGTCATAGAGAAGCATAATTTATATACATAGACCAGACAGAAACAACGTTAATATTAAAAACAATATAAATTTTAGGGGAAGAGAGAAAATGGAAGATAAACCGAAAAAGAGAGAGAGGAGAGAGAGAGAGAGATAAGAAAAAAAGAAAGTAATTGAGGGAAACATAATAAGATGGAAGAAGACAAGAGATATCTAACACCACTAATATAAAGAAGTGCATTACGAAGGTCGTCCAGGTCCTACATGACAACGCCATCATTACCATCATCATCTTCAGTCATCTTCACTCATCATCATCATCTTCACTCTCGTCATCATCATCATCTTCAGTCAGTATCATCATCATCTTCATTCTCGTCATCATCATCATCTTCATCACCATCATCATAAAATGACTAGAGATTTTTGCATCGTCATTATTATCATCGTTAAAAACATTTGCTTCATCGTTGCATACATACTTGGAAGCTGGTCGTAATCTTTGCAAATTCAGCATTCGAATGGTGTAATCCTACTTATCTTTGTTGCTGCAATCTTTGAATAAGTGAAAAATGAAATTAATTAATGGTTGAATTTGTAATACACCAGTTTAACAAACACTACAGACACCCTACAGACAACCCAACACAAAAACAAAAACATACTTCACAAAAACACACTCCAGACCCAAAAGCCACACACCCAAACTCCACACACACACACACGCGCATACACACATATATACACACAAAATCACACATACACGCACAGAAAACTCACACGGCACAAAAACACACTCCATACACAAAAAACCACACTCCACAAACCGCACACACAAACACAGACGCATACACACACACACACAGGAAAACACGACGCAGGCACACAGGACAACATAACTCACATACCTCATTCCACCCGTCGTGTTTCTTCATTATTTTCGCATTAATTTTCACGCGTCCCTCGCACGCACGCTCTCATCCACGCACGCACACACGCAAACACACCTACACAAACCCATACACACCGCATGTATGTACAATTACACGTACACACACACACACACACACACACATACATTCACATGTGTATACATTTGTGTGTGTAGTTTGAAATTTTTATCTTTACCTGGCTTTCAATCACTCAAACAAAACTCACGTCTTAATAAGTCAATAGCAGCAAAAAAAACACACACATCACATACAAACTTTTCGATGACGGCATCAGCACACACAGCACTCAGCTTCAAAATTACACACATACATTACACATAAACACATACGTGCAGTCATACGCGCGTGCGCCCACACACACACACACACACACACACACACACACACACACACACACACACACACACAGAGAGAGTTTTGTCATTTAATTGCTATCATCTTTTTAACCGCTTCGACGTACTTCCAACGTAACGCGGTTTAGTTTGATTGCTTGTCTCTATCTATAAATCCGTGTGTGTGTGTGTGTTCGTTTATATGCATGTGTGTATGTATGCATGCATGTGAATGTGTGTGTGTGTGTTCGTTTATACATGTGTGTATGTATGCATGTATGTGAATGCGTTTGTGTGTTTGTTTATATGCATGTGTGTATGTATGCATGTATGCATGTATGTGAATGTGTGTGTTTGTTTGTTTATATGCATGTGTCTATATGCATGTATGTATATTTGTGTGTATGTATATTTGTGTGTATGAGTTTGGGTGCATTTGTTTGTATGTTTACAAAAACGTGCATTTTTGTAAGTCTGGGTAAATGCATATGTGTAATAATGCAATCATCGTCATCATCATCATCATCACCATCGTCATCTCTACTATCATCACCCCCACCAATAACCCCGTACGCGTAAACGTACGCCCCAGGAATGCCGACCAATCAGGCATCACCTTTCATATCACGTGACCGAAACGTACAGAGCTCTCTTTCTCTACATCGCTTTTATATGGGTCCCACATTTATTACCACTTTAATCATTTGCCTTATTATTATTATTATCATGATTATTATTATCATGATTACTATTATTATCATCATCATCATCATCATCATTATTATCATCATCATCATTATCATTATTATTATTATCATTATCATTATCAATATTATCATCATTATTATTATTATTAAAAACCTTCCATCCGCCCAGTTTTTATCCTCCTTCGTTAGCTCAGGTACGACGTATGCCATCACCAACACCACCAATTCCACCCAATTCTTGAATCCACCACCAATTCCACCCAATTCTTGAATCCACCACCAACTTTACCCAATTCTTGAATGAATTTGTCACGAAAAAAATTTGACGAAATGTACAGAGTACAAAACGAGCAAGTGTATGAACAACCTAAAAAAGTGTTTCTAATGGTTTCATACGATTTAATGTCATAATTCGTTCATTTGAAATTCTACTGATATGTTTTTTATGAAACTTTTGTCCATACATAAACGTCATAAAATGGTCAGATGAATTTCTGACTAACTTGTTAATTAATGTAGTCTCATCGTCATCTTAGGCTATTTAACGTGTCGGGAACTTCTAGTTAGACCAACTCATAAGGCCAACCCATCAACATCAAAACTTTCTACTCTATTTATTATTTTATAGCCTTGAATTATTATTTTGATTTTAATTGGTTGTGGAGTTTTAAAAAAGAGTTTACATTTTTATTATTATTTTTACTGGAAAGGTAAAATATTCTGGGTATATTGTAAAATTTCTTGGATAAGTTGTGATATTTCTAGTAAAACCTGTGGTGTAGTGATAGAAATAATATTAATATGATATTTTAATTTTAAATGATATTATTATATTAATGGTTAAACTAAATGCATCCATTTTCTCATTACCATAATCGTAACTACAATCAACATCATTACGTCGTCGTCGTCATCATCAACATCATCATCACCACGATCATCTTCATCACCACCAACGTCATTGTCATCATTGATGCTGTGGTATTTGACGCTTCAAGACACAACATATCACGCTTGATTTATGTGGGTTATCTCTCTGTATGAATTTTTTTATGTATGTATGTATATTGTATATATGTGTGTGTGTGTGTTTGTATGCATGCGTGTGTGTGTTTGCATGTGTGTGTGTGTGTGTGTGTGTTTGCATGTTTGTATGTGTGTTTGTTTGTATGTAATTATGTTCGTATGTATGTTTATGGCAAAAAAATTGATAAAATTTAACAATACTAAAATCAACAAAAAATATAACATTTAAAAAAGTTTTAAGTGTAAGTAGAAAGAGAGAGAGAGAGAGAGAGAAAGAGAGAAAGAGAGAGAAAGAGAGGAAGACAGAGAAAAAGAGAGAGAGCGATAGATAGATAGATAGATAGATAGAGAGAGAGAGAGAGAGAGAGAGAGAGGGGGGATAAAAATAATGATGAATTTGTAGATTCAAGCATTGATGTGCATCGACCAACTAACAACGTAAGCTATTACAAATGTATGTCCTATCACCTACCTTACCTTATACACGCACACACACTCATATATATATATATATATATATATATATGTATATATATGTATATATATATATATATATATGAGTGTGATATATATATATAGTTTTTTATTTTTTACAATATTCTATAAATTCTACCGAATGTTTGGCGTTAAACATTCGGTAGAATTTATAGAATATTGTAAAAATTAGGGTCTATTACCAACATATATATATATAGATGTATGTTTGTGTCCGAATATGTGTGTGTGTAAATGTACGTGTGTATTTATGTGTGTTTCAACATGTATATATATATATATGTGTGTGTGTGTGAGTGTTTAGATGTTCGTGCATGTACGTTTATTATTTGTGTATATTAGTTCGGCTTCTGCACCGTTCCGCACACATACATACACATATAAACATACATACACACACACACACACTGACATAGTATATATACGTACACACATACGCATACAAACCAAAACATACATTCATCTAGTACACTACGAGATTTGAATGTAATTATCAATGATGATTCGCTCTGGAAGATGAGGGTGGTGGTGATGATGGTGATGGTTATCCATGATGATGATGGTGATGATGGTGATGATGGTGATGACGATGGCAACAATGGTGATGATAATGATAGAAATGTTATGACGTTGATGTTATGACGTGGGTTCGGATGTTTTAATACTGACTTAGAAGCAATCATCCTGAATGACTTTTATTACAAAAAAATGATATCAAAAGTGTCAACAATTCTTTATAATCATCAAACTTCGAAATAAGATAGCTCAGATGGTAGAAGAGTCTGTGTTTTTCTTTACAAAAAAACATGGCTATTTGTGACCCGAGGCAAAACTCCAACGATGTATATATTTATTTTTTCTCATATAAAACAAAGTTTGTGCTACCAAGTCTTAATGATAATTTCCTTTTTACGCAAGTTATACATCATGCAAAACACACACACACACACACACACACACGAGAGGAAACCATATTTTGTTCAGTATTGTTTAAATTCTACCAAATTGTTAGCATCACGCAGTTTGAAGTTTCTCTTTTCAATTTTCCTTACTAGAATTTTTTAATTTATTGAAAACGAATGGAACAATTTCCAGAAAATTCTAGTAAGGAAAATTGAAAGGAGAAACTTTAAATTGGTTAATGCCAACAATTTTGTAGAGATCACACACACAGACACACACACACACACACACACACACACACATATAT